ATTTCGTAAATACGGTTATTTCTTACAATGATACATCTCGAGGCTTCAAGTCACTAAACTACTTTCATATGATGATTTTAAAAGACAATCACTTGCTAAAATTTATTTATTACCACACCGAAATATTCCAATATAACATTCTGTTGTTTGTATAACTATTACAACAGCTGAAATACTTAATGTTTCTCACTTATGCGTTATATTCATCACACTTTTATACACCTACATTTATAACTTCTAACTTATCAAATTTTTTTATGTTTTTTATTCTGTGTCCAGTTTTTTATTTGGGCATAGTAGAATTATTATGCAAACCTTCGCCCCCCAGTTATTATTATTATTATTATTATTATTAATAGTTCTTGAACCTGATAACCTGTTTATCCTACCTAGTAATTATTTTCTAATGCTACCATTTCATTTAATGCCTGTAGTGGCAAACAGAACATTAGGCTATTATTCTTGTGCATAAGCTAGTTTGCTTTTAAGGAGTGTTTGGGAAAAACGTTGCAATATTTCTAGAAGAAAGACGGGTTAGAATGTATGCCGAAAAATAGCAAATAAAAGTTCCTATAAGCATAGGTTCTAGAGTATTTATTCTGTTGCCAAAATACAGGGTGTTGGACATTTCTACACCATTGGTGTGACTCGATAAGGATACAACATGACATACAATTTTCAACTTCAAAGTTCGCTTACTTCAGAATATTTCCAGAGCAGAACGGGTTCAAGAATTTGATATGAATTTTACCTCATTAAAACCATTTTTTCTCCAAACGTCTGAAAAACGAATTTATGGAAAATTAAATACCTTATTCAAATATGCAATAGACGTTTCAAAACAGTCGGAGAGGCAGAAAATAATTTTCTTTTCCTGTAGCGTCAGAACTTTTCAATTTTAACTTCACTGGTATAGTCTCAGGCACAAACATTCTTGTATGCATTGGTTGATATCTCAATTCATTCTGAAGTTTTAATTTTTCTCAAACATCCTGTATAATTTGGGTAAGCATAACGACTTATCCTGTGTTTTACTGTGAAACTCATATAAGAAACTGTACAATACAATCACATGCAATCTAGGAGACTCGAATTGTTCGCAGATAATACTAATAAGGTTTGTTCCAACAAGCAGTTCCGATCTAAGTCAAACCTAATTCAGATTTACTTTGCGCATACCCAAAGTAAGTACAGTTTAAAACTAGTTCCTATATATTGTTAATTACGTGGTTTGTTGTGAACATAATCTTAATTGAAGTGAAATTTCAAATAATAAAGTTTCAGAGACCTGAAATTTTTGTGAATTAATTGTTTTTTGACAAAGCGCACGTCTTATTAAGAAAATTAGGAACACGAGATGACAAGTTCAACAAAAGATATGTAAATCTTGGTGAATATTATGAAGAAATAGTATGAAACCTTGTCTTTTAGAGCTGACAGAATCCATCCATTTTAGCTTGTAAGTGTGCTCTGTCAAAGAAGGTGTGGAGGAAGTTAAGTGAAATGTTAACAGCACTAAGTTATTGTTATGAAAGAAATATTACTGATAACATGAACTTCTATAATCAGTTCAAGATATTCATCTTTACTTGAATCAAGGCAAAGTTCGAATTTACGCACTTTTTGAATACTGTTATCTGTTATAGACGGCACAATAGACAAATGAAAATTCATCTCTGATATACGAAAACCTTGAAGAGCTAGAAAAGGTACAAAATAGCAGCCACCAGAGGCAGACGCAGGAGGACCGTCCAGGAATCCTGATGCTCGAAGTATCAGATTTTAAAAAAATTGCATTTCTTCCAATTTGCGACGACCTCCCTCTCCCCCCCGCTCTTCAATTTTCAATCTGAAATACCGCTCCACTTTTTTATATTAACCCTCCTGAAATGTTTTCTAGATCCACTTATGCTAGTCACAAAACCCAGCTTCCCAGCAGCTATAAACATCTCATTGAAGCCATTTATTGTGTAAAGGCGCATGCCCTAACAAATAAGAACATTTAGTTCTCTCTCAGAAACAGAAGTGCTAGAATCAGTTCCATTTTCTGTTGAAACGGTAATTTCGATCTGTGCAGATGCTCTATTCAGTTCAGAATTTTTTGATGGTAGGTTGGAATCAAGTCTATTAATCTGTGTTGAAGATTCTCACCATTGAACCTGAGATCGCTTCACCGAACAGTCCGTGCAGATGTGGGTATGCTCTAGGAAAACGCTATTTTTTGAAAACTCAATGATCGCATCGGCTCGAAACTCTATCTGATAACTGTGAAAAAACGAAGAATCTAATTATAAGGAAGTACATATTAGATACTGTATTAATTAGGTAGTACAAAGTCATGCGTGTGCGTGACTGGTGACCATAATCTAACGGCTAATGCATAAGTAGGTGATTTTCCCATTTTTGAATCCCCCACATCATGTCAAAAAAGGACAACTACATATATCGATCGTTAACTCCCATCGTTCCCATCTGAAAAACCTAGACATAACAGGTGCTAAAGACCGCTTTTTCCTTCCATATAAAATAAACGTCAGTTTCCGTACGGCTTTCCACGAATCTGTAATTTTCGAAGTTAATAATAGTAATACCGTTACTATTTAGGTGATCTAGCTTCAAAATAGATCATAATCAATATGTTTGCGCGTATCTCATTTCGAATTTTTATCAGCAGTAATTGCTATTTGCAAAATAATTGCAGAGTAATCCTTCGCTTCCTGATGCCCAGCTAATGAAGCTGATGGAACTGTCAGCTAGAAAAACACACATCTTCATGAGGAAATTACTGGAGATAGAAATCTGGCGATACGATCAGCTTACACATTCCATTGCAAGCTTAACTATTACAGGTACCTCTTGAAATGAAGTTATATTTGTCAGCAGGTCACTCCCACGCTCAATGCGATTACTTTTTTACACATACACAGTTACGAAGGCTAAGCCTGAGTCCCCGAGTACCGCGACTATCCTGATGGAATTGGAGAAAGATAAAGAGAGTATTGAGAAAAGTCATTGTAATGCTCCCCATTTTATCTAATAATGATAACAACTAACAAACAAAAGTGTAGAGTTACTTGGAAAGGAGGGTACTTTAATCATAAATAGTGACGTCACAGGCAACTAAGATCCCTACTGTGCCAGAAAGAAACTACTAATGAATGAAGAATGAAGAAAAATTCAATATACTCGTATATGCCGAAAATGCTATAATGGTGAAACGTCAAGACCAGTTAAGTGTGAAATTAAATAGTAACACAAATGATAAATAGTAAAAATGATAACTTAAGTATCAGCACTTATGGAAAGGCATAGAGTAAAATGAAAGTATCTGAAAAAAGGGGTAAAATAATAAATATAAGTAATACAAAGTTAAACAAAAATTGTCTTTCTAGTTGTTCTGTGGGTTATGATCCAATTTGGTTCAGTATCATTGAAGAAAAGGTACAATTGGTATGAGTGACTTTCGCCAGTCCAGTGTCTAACTGTTGTGTCTTGAATTATTTTCTCATAAGACACTGGTGCCATGAAGATGTTCAAATACTATTTCACACATTTTAGATCTATAGGTAATGTAAATACAACATTGGTAGTCCAATATTGCAAAATAGTCAGCCGGTGTGTTCCGAACCCGAAGGCGTTAAGCGTTTTCGAGGCGCCGAGCGTGTCTTGTACATCCAAAACAACGGATAATCTCATGCTCGCTTGTCGCTGTTGGGGAGTCCTCGGCTTTGTTAGTTTAGCGCGGTGCTATCTTAAAATTATAGTGATGGCTTCGCACAACCTAAAGCCCAACTTAAAGAAGACAAAGTAAAAATAACATTAATATTTTGAAAGATTATTTTTAATTAAAAATATCAAATAGATGCTCAGTTTCTATGAATCTGATCGTAACTTAGGTTTAACTAAGCCTGCGTTTCTCTATCCATAAAGTCTAGTAAATAAAGCATTCAGTTCCATAAAAATCATTTATAGCAGTCGGCATTTTCTAAGTGAAAAACTAAAGAAAACTGTGTAAGACCCTGGTGCTTATAGCCATTTTAACAACTGTAGCTTTATTTATGGGCCGTGTTTGACAAGTGCTGATAAATATAACAAAAACACAGAAAGTTCAAAATAGTTGCTGTAGGCTGGTAAACCGAATCAGGAAGTATGATCCTATATCACACAAAATCAAATACTGCGGATTGCTTAGCATGAAAAATAGGAGACTTTATGCGTAAATTGGTCCACAACCCAAGTCTGCTTAAATGTTCCATACCTCGCAATAACGCTCATCATCTAAATGTTAGATCAAAAATTAACTCCAAGATGGATCGTATAAAATTCGTTCAGGATGTATAATCAGCTTCCACAAGAATTCAAACTTCTGAACAAGAAAAAGCTCAAATCCAAGTTACAACGTTAGTTGCTTCATACGTTTTGAATCCGCTTTTTGTTATTTCTTAATTATTGCTTATAGATAGTTATAGTTACGCATTAAAAGTGGTTAAGCTTCCTTTTAACATAAAATTAACTGCTCCTGTCGTTGGACATTCGGTATGGTAGTAAAAAGTTAAAAGCATAATCACTACATATGTGTTCCTTTGCGAATACCTGCGTTGCGCAACTCTATTTGAAGAACATCATTTAAAATATATTTTTCTGTCTACTTCTGTCTAATCGATTCGTTGGTTTAGTTTTAGTTTAATACTGTGTACTTATACTGAGTGACAAAAAAAGGTAAACACCTACGTATGTTTATCCGATATTGATAATTTTTGGCATGTGTATGTTCAGTGTCCCTTATTAGTAAGATGATTAAATTTTCAGCTTGACTGCAGAAGCTGGTTCAATAATGTAAGGATCCACGATTTCTTATGGGGTATCTCATTCCAGGCAGCAGCGGTGGCCGCAGTAGTAGACTCTTCGGTCTCCTGATCAGTCGCCGTGCGCTGTGCGGGTTCGAGTCCCGTCCCAGGAGAAATTTTTCTCTTGGCTATGGATGTTGCGTTTGTCTGTAGGTGGTAGACGGTCTCTGACTGTCGAACGCGGAGGTACCACCCGGCGGATCTCGTAGGCGGAGCCAGAATGTGTGCATGTTGCATGCACACGTGTTCCCTCGCCAGAGTCCGTGTGGCGTTCCCCCTTTCCCATGTATCCCCCTATAGCCCCACGGTACCCAATGGGTGCTTAGGCCTTAGGCCGTGGTAGTTGGAGTATAAAAAAAAGGCTACTGCAACTTCGTGAGTAAGAACTGCTGAAGAATCCATGGAGGCTAACGATACTCTGGCAACATGCGGTCTGGCATTGTCTTGCTGAAAAATCAGGTTTTGGATGGTGTTTAGGTATGGAATAAGATGAGGCTCCACTACTTTCTGAATATAGCGTCGGGCTGTCATATTGCCTATGATGAAAATACCACCACAAAAACTTAACAGAAAAACCTGACCATTTTATCACTTGTTTTTAATGGCAGGATACATCGATATGTAAAAAATTCTTGAATTCTAATAACAGATATTAGCTAGATTTCGCCTGTGGTATTGTGTTTTTGATATCGCCTGTGTACAAAATTAATAAAGACGGTTTATTCTTATCTCGGCGTGGTACTGGATAGTACAAGCTGTTGTTGCGATGCATTCTATATCAGCGAAAAGTACATTTGAAATCTCACTTGGAAGTTAATTAAATGTTGAATATATTGTAATTGTCATTTTTATTCGCACTTTGAAAAATGCCGAATTGTCAGTAAAGGGTAAATTATACATAACTGGATTCATTTTGCATGGATCTCACCTACTAGGTTGACGCAAGATAGAGTAGGCACTTTGTGATTATTTGCCAGATCATGTTGCTATTAAAATAGCTGATAGAAAAGCAACAACAAGGTAGGTCATTAAGTATGATACGTGGCAGCGACACCGTCCATTTTGACACATATTATCCCAACCCACCTGTACGGTAATTACCAGCACATGAAAATCTTCAATTAACATTTTCGCTGGCTGCTTGTGCCTTCTTTAATTAAGGTTTAATTAAACTTTTTTTGGTCGGTCCGGCGCTCTCTCGTGATCCACGGTGCGATCTCAAGATACTTTTTCGCTCTTTGTAAACAGGCATGCCTCACATTTTTGCCATCGGATTGCTTAAGACTACGATACAGGAAATTCTACCGTTTGAATACCTCAGAGCCACGTGATCACATACTTTTGAACCTTTACTCTGAGGTTATCTTATTATGAACTCTTCAAGAATCTAAATCTTAACGCTTGCAGCCTAAGAAAAAGGATCTCAGTGATTCCCACCAGGTCTTGATCTACTTACGAGAGGGGATACAGCCAAGCTAGAAAGAAAAGCAAAAGCCTCACGAGTCTCGTATGTGGCCTCACGGAGAGGAGAGGAACACATTTTATTGGTATATCAGCAAATTACTGACCGCCCATCAAAAACATAATAGCTTAAGATTATGTCAATCAATTAGAGGATGAGAATCAAACTTCAAGGAATCTGCATCTACTACCCATCTACAATAATCGGAAAGAAATGTCTGCTGATGGAGTTTCATACCATATTTGAATAGAAGCTTTGCTGATACAGCAACAAGGTAAGTCCCCCGAGAATATGGGACCTCAATTTTAAGGCCTAAACTATAAAGTATATAGCTCGGTATTTCTGTTGTGGTAGATACCTCCAATTTCATTAAACAATGTCTCTAGCAAAGAGTGAATGGCGAAGAGAAGAAACAAAACTGATTATGTCACATCAATACAAATAACCGGCGTTAGTCGGTACTAGTGTAGGTACTATTGTACGCTATCTCGACGGTTTATGACATATCGCTGCCAAGCGGTACCCACATTAGCATACGCGATACAACTGCCATCTATCGGCCGCCTTGGTAAGATACTGCGGAAAGTGCAGACACTATATCATCAGAATCTCTCTTGGTCGTTTTTTGATTGGTAGAAGCTGATACTAAACAGATTTGAACAGCATTAAACAGCGCATCAAGTGATGGACGTACAAAGTCTAAGACGTAGAAGAAGGGATGTTGAGAATGTATGTTGTTCATTAATCAGAACAGTGTACAGTTATTACGTTTCAGGTCCGTTGGACTTGCTAATCAAAAGTGAAACAAGAACGAAAAAACGGTGGTTCATAATAAAAAGTGAAATTGAAGTGCGTTAGCTTAAGGAAGAGTTAATGAGGCAAGGACATCCTGATGGATTAGCTAAACGATCTGAGGATGGTGCAATTCACAGGGTGTCTCCATTGCAAGATCCTTGGCCTACAATCTTGCTGACGCTTCCATGTGAAGCACAAATATTTGACGCGCAATGATAGTATACACATTTTTTAGAAGCCCTAGAAATTCTTTATTATTACACTTTAAAATAAGTATTCCTGGAAAAAATGACGTCAAGTATGTTGACTCTGCACTTCCCAATTCATCGGTTCACAAAGGATTACGTTCGGCACAGGCTAGACCCTTTGAGAAAAATGTTAGCCAGAAAGCACTCAAACGGATCAAGTCATTCAAACAGACCCATACAATTGATCCATCTGTCAACCTTGCTATGACTAGCCTAGCCGTTCGCCACAATCACACCTAAGCCTCTGTAGCACGGCAGTTACGGCACGTCTCTCATCGTGAGGCTGCAACGCCGGTAAGTTCCGAGACCAGAGATGTACGTTCAAGATATTTTTTTCTTAGGGTCTGCAATGCCGACAAGGAAAAAAGTGTCAAGGGGAAATGTAATCAGTGCGTTAAATTGCCGGGATCGGAACGCCAGAACATCCAACCTCAGTTTTTGACTCCTACAGACATTCCTCTGAAATCGGTCAGGAGCCTCCAAAACGCCAAATCCAGCGCGATTTATTTTTGTTTTTTATTACTATTAATGAATTGATTGGCTTGTTTTAAAATCATCAGGCGTTTATTAGGATTCAGACTGATACGATGTCAATTTTGTATTTCAGTCTAGTTCCAGAGTAATTTGAACATATGGTTCAGCTTCATTGGGCCAATAATTGATTTTTGAGTTCTGCGACAAGCAGCGAAGGGCAGAAGAAGCTCATAATAGACTCATTATGCCGTTGCGGGTCCACTAAGCTGGATACACAGCAAAGGTAATAATGAAATTCATGCATATAAAGCTGGTCGGTTGGTTTATCTTCCTTTGGTATCGAGAAGGCGTGCCTCGAACTCATTGTCACCGAGCATGCCTGAATAATACGACATTATCTCAGTGCGCCTTGCATGGTATTACCTCGAAAAATCCCACAGCCTACTACCGCACTATCCTGTGTGGATCTCCAGGCAACCGCAATGTGCAGCGCTATCTATCGGCGAGGACACGATTCTAGATGGGGATAGGGCACACTTAATGAAACCCCCTATCAGCATAGTACAAAGTGCAGAACTCTAAGTCTCTCAAGTCCAAGTAATTAGTATATTCTTCTAGAAAAAAAGTCTCAAGAGGAACAACCTCCAAAAACCCCCCCTGACCCCCTATGGAACACAGAAGCGTTCTAGGTAGGGGTTACTGATAGGTATGGGAAGACAACGTAAGTTTTAATTTAATATTGTCAGAGAAGAAATAAAACATACTATTCAAGGATCCCTCCCAGACTAGCCAATGTTGAGCATGGATTTGACCTTGAGCGTGACCTTGAAGGTTATCGTCAAGTAGGGGCATCATATTTGGTAGTGATTTGGCTTATTGACTGACTGCCGCCATGTACTGATATATGTGATGGATGCACATGGATATATCCTACTTTCCCAATCCACATATTTTTGGAAAAAGGGTTTTATCATGCCAGTTTTGAGTATACCCAATTCCTATTCAGACTGTACGTGTCAGAACGCCCCTTTTTATCTCATATAGTTGAATTTCGCAGTCTTTAAAAATAAGCCAGTGCCACCACCTTGAAATAGGTAGGCAAACAGCACCAGATTTTTTTTTGCATAATGAAAACAGAAGTTAATCTAAATACCAGTAAGTTGTCACCTAGTTCAACACTTTAGTGTCCTCCGCGGGAGATTACATGATTCAGTCTAGTATCAAAAGAAAATTGTCGGTTTGAAATTTAAGTCTTTAATAATCTCAGTCATACCCTAGCGAACTTCCCTTCAAGCCGACAGACACAACGTGATGATTTGTGATCCATTTCTGTCAAGTGACTTTAACAGTCAAATCAACAACTAGATGCTACCGAGTTCACAGAGAGAGGTGATTTGGCTGTCTCACCTGGACCGAGCTGACGATTGATAACTAGCATGAAACAGCGCTATACGTGGTTGGTAGGACGGACGAAGGTGGTATTATCAGCGCCCAATGGCGAGTACACCACACATCTGACAGCGGCTAGCGATCTTTCCTCTGTAAATAAACGTTAGCCTAGCAAGACCGATCAGTACAATCATTCCTTTGTTCTTAGGATATAGAAATCGTGGAGCAAGCTGAAATGCACTTTTTCCTAGTACCGCTAACCCTAAGTTAACATCGAATAAACAAGATATCCCTAACTCCTTGACATTCGTGGCGATACATCAGTATTTAGGCTCACCTTTCGCGAATACTCTTGTATTTCTCAGTTATATATAAAGTGAAACTAGATGAATAAAATTATTGTATGTGTTCACAACAATAAAACCTGACGCACTCAAATCAAGTATCCTTTCGCAGTTTGAATTTCCTCACCATTATCTTAATCTATGTCTTCAATGCACGGTTTGTGAGGTTTTATTGCTCTCAAACAGCTACTCGGATCCGCAAGATCCCAATCTAATTGAAAAATCCGGCCAATCTTCACAGTTAATTGCATTTTCCGTAATAATGCTACAAACTGGAGCGGTACTGTTAGCTTCGAATGGTACTCTGTTAGAGATAAGTTGCAGACACAGTCGTAAAGAAAGGAATCAGATCACACTGCTTAGAATTTACGCCTGAAGGAAAATGCGCACGAAAGATGAGAAAGTTTAGATACTTGGATTCTTTCAAAAAATTGCTAAGGTAATGAAGTGTAAACCTGTTAAGGAAATTTGTCCAGTATAAATTAGAGCAACGCACTACCAACAACAGCAGAACAGGGGGGGGTTATAGCCTTAATACGATGTGATATTAGATATAAGATTTTAACTATTCAATGTGTGGAAAACTATGTG